CGGAGGCTCGGGGGCTCTTCCTGTAACCTTACCGAGACCCAGCGGCCTAAGCTCGCACACGAAGGGCTCGGCAAACAACCCCTCCTTCCGAACAAAAAGGATGCGCGAGGGTCATACAAAAAGCCAGAAGAACTCCTGACCGCCCTCTCGCTCCGTGTAGAGGCTCGGGGGCTCTTCCTGCAAACCTTGCCGAGACCCAGCGACCTAGGATCGCACGCGAGGGCTCGGCAGGCTCGGGTGCTCCTCCTGCACCCCAAACAAGCGACCCGAGCTCGCTCTCATGGGTCAAGCAAATGCGATAGAGCGTCTTACTCAACGAAGAAAAAGCCCCTAAAGGAGTAAACTCACTCCTCTAGGGCCTCGGGGACTACACCCGGCGGGTGCGCTCACGCGCACCCACCGGAATCGTGAGTATAAAACAAACCCGACAAGAGCCACTAAGAAACAAAAGTCTCGAAAAAACCTCAGGGAGAGTATCCCACACTCCCGCCCGAGGCTCGAGGGCTACTGTCGGATACCCAAAAATAGGGTACCCCAAGCAAAGGTCGAAAAACTGCTTAGACCCTAAGAATAGAACCAACGAAATAAACGAACGAGGTCTCGGCCGAAATCTCCGATTCGCCCGAGACCCCGTCGCTGAGCCCCAGCGGAAGCGAATGATTCTCCGACTTGCCCGAGACCGCCTCGCCGAGGCCCCCTCGTCGAGGCCCCCTCGCCCGGGGCCTCGGAAGAAGTGCCGATTCTTCGATTTGCGCAAGGCCGGCTCGGCACCAGCCCCGTGGCCGCCTCTTCAACCAAACTGCTTTGACCGAACGTCGCATCCAAGCGCCCAACCACTCCGACAGACGCACGATGGCACAGTACAGCGAAGTGACCAACTACACGCCAGTCGCGTCAACCTCCTGCCATCTGCGACGGCACAGAGCAGGGGTTACCGACCACTATGCTGCCTAACTCCTGCACCAAGGACATCGCAACGTGGGGAGTCAGAACGGGTTCCTATAGCCTCGGAATCAGCGGACCGACCGCTTCGTCTCGCCCAAGCCCCCTCGACAGGGCCTTGGATTCACTGATCTTACTCCGCCTCGCCCGTCCGCCGCCCGGGACCCCCCGGTAGGGCCTCGGACGAATTGGCCACGCTCCGCCTCGCTCGAGGCCGGGCTCGTCCCGCAACCTCGTCGCCTCCGCCTCAAAAGTCTTTCTAGCAGGCTGTCGCATCCGATTAATGCCCTCAGCTGCACCCGCTACGTAAGCCACGATCGGCAGTGCGCTGCAATAGGAGCGACGGGACAACGGTCAGATCACCTTTTCTATCATCCCTTACTGACAATACAGGTACCGTGTCATGTAGGCGCACGTCTCGCACTATTCCGCCGATGGCACCGAGACCCGCATCCGCACTGGTCACTTCTCGTGCCTCGCACGGTAGGCCTCGGCACAACATGCCTCAAGACGACGGCCACTACGATGGCGCAGCCGAGCCTCTGCAATCCACCAAGTCAACAAATGCGCGAAGATGTTACTTGCGATGGAGACCATACCGATTAGACATCTACACGGAACTCCCACGACAACGCCATGCTTCGCTTGAGAGTAAATACGTCATCGAATAGTCCTTGCTCCACGTAGCTCTCTTATATACTCCTGGTTTCCTCCTGCGGCTATAAAAGGAGGCGGCCGAGGGGCGTTTCTAGGGACGACGGATAGAATCACGAATACTACTGCATACGAACAACACGCCTCATTCTCAGAATTCATATCACCTCCCCTTACAGAGACACGGACGAACTCCCTCTCTCGCCTAGCTCAGAACCCCCTACTACGAGCACCCCGGTGCAAGGAATATAAGAACATCTTCTCGACCGGGCGTAGGGCATCCATTGTCCGAACCAAGATAAACCTTGTGTCTCTTTGCATCTCCATCCTAATTTGGAGCACGCAGCACAAATTCACTAGTCGGTTAAGGACCCCCGGTTTCGAAACACCGACACTGCTACTATTTTATGATACGCAACAAATATGTGATGCATAATAAATATTATTAAATTATTAGTGAAATATTTTTTATAATAATATATCATGCATGTATATATAAATGTTGACAATATTTTTTAAAATCTAGCTAAATTTATAAAAGTAAGACTACCTGAAAAAAAATGGGATAAACAATTATTTTTGAGACACGGAGAGTACGAGCACAATGATTTGGCATTTAATTTCTATGCAGCTTACGGCAGTGTTCGGCTGGCTGGTCACCGGCTGGCTGGCTGGCCAGCCACCTCACGAAATCACTAATCACGTTCTGTCAGAACAGTATTTTTCTCTCACAATAATTAACTAGAACAATATTTTTCAGTCCTGTCGAACAGAGCCTATCATCCAAGGCGCTTGGGCTTGGCTCTCGTCTTGCTAAAGCAAAGCATCTATCATCGCAGGAGGGGAGGATGCATGCGTGCATAACAACAGTTCACTGTCACAGGTGGCCCTCTGCAGGTGGGAGAAGAAAAAGGCTTTCTTGGCTGGACCACGCAGACGAACAACGGACAAGGTCAGGTCACAAGCTAGGTTGATGGTACGGTACTTCCGCTGAACGAGCCAGGCTGTTCCGTGTCCCATTGCCTCACCTTGATTGTGCGCGCAGTGGTCATACATGGTACTACTACGTACGAGTACTCCTACCTGCTACCATTGTCAACAGTTTTAGATCTCATGTTTGTTTAGACTTATTTAGTTTATAAGTCGTACTTTTTCAGCCAACAAACAGTATTTCTCTCTCACACTAAATTAATCAACAATACTTTCAGTCATTGCTTATGAGTCAAATAAGCCTAAACGAATAGGCAAGCAGCTGAAACGCACAAATCCTCCCGTAAAATGCTCATCAAGGTTTCCAGTGGCATTACACGACCTAAGAACCTGACAGATAGATATCAATCAACCGTCAATGGGACCCAGAGCAGCTGCCGTGGCAGTTTATTTATATACTACTCCGTATAATGCTAGCCCTTGTTTACTACTGTATTAAACTGCTATTAGTCAACTCTCAGCCTGTTTGGGAGGCCGGATCGTATCGTGGATTATTTACTGCTGGCTGGTTTGGTGTGAGAGAAAAACACTGTTTCTGACTGGAAATTTACGATCGTTTACGAGCAAGCGAACAAGCTGTCTGTGCCCAAGAATGTCCCACTAAAAAGCATGCTTGAGCTTTAGAACATGAGGCTGCATTTGACCGGGAGACCTGGAACATGTGTTTGGACGCCTGCAGACTTATGTACTGGCATATTGTGGGTTCAGCACTCAAGGCTAGCCGTCTCAAGAATATATAGCATTTTAATTTGCCGCCGCCAGAAAACTAGGCATTTGAAAAAGTTTGGAATTGAAATCGACCGACTTTGCCATATGCGCCACCTTGTTCAAAAATCCCACTACATTACAAGCAGGTGGCCATTTCCAGTTCAGTTACTAGTTGACCTGTCACCTGTCCGTATGCGGCAGCAACAGCCTTCCCTTTGCTTTGACCACACTCTTTGGTTAGCTAGACATAAACCGGCAGCCAAAGGTAGATGCACCGTCGCCGTATGTGTCTTGAGCATCGATCACAGTCACTATAATTACTGCTAGCATGGAGCTACTTGTCCTAAGTATGGACTGTAACCGTCGCCATGTTCAGTTTTTTTAATATATAATAAAGGCCGTGTTCAGTTAGTTACTGATGCTATCTAGAATTACAAGCAACGTTTCACTTTTCTACCCTTCCTTAGATTCTACTCAGGTCTCTGTAAAAGATGCTGTAACTTTTTACTCAGCATCAACCTAGCGAAGTTTTGTTCTTTTTAAAAAAAAAACCTCTGAAGCTGAATTACATAAGGCAGTGTTTGGATCAGGATTACAGTTCAGACCAGTCCAAAACTGCAATAAGACTTCTTTTTATAAAAAAAAATCCAATAAGACTTCAGACCAGTCCAAAACTTCAATCATACTTCACACACAAACACAGCTAGACGGGCGGGGCCAAACAAACGAACAGAAAACGAGAGAGGTCAGCACACACAGAAAGGTTCGCAGCTGACAGAGATACATCCCACAAAACATGAAAATCTCGCTTTTCAAGGCCACACTAGTGAAGATGTTAAATTACACATGTGCCCCTGCTGTCTCCTTCTCACTTTCTCAGTACACGTCTGGAACTTAGAAGAACCATATAGAATCTTCACTGGAACCACAGAGTTAACATGATTTTTCAATTGTATGTTATTTTTATTGGCGGGTCTTACAATAAAGCTTATCTCCAACCTAAATTTATATGTTTTTAGGACCAGATTTAAACCACAGCATCAATTGGTTTTGAAGGGAGGGAGTATTCACCTACGTACGCATGTCACGCAGAGAAACAGACTAGAACAGTCTTAGAGACGTCGCTTCATATCTGCAACAGCCAACACTGCCAAGAAAGTGAGAAACAGAAGCCTGCATACAGCGGGACCCCCAAAGTCCCTTCCTTTTCTCTCAAACCCCCTCCTCTCCTCTCCATTCTCCGGTCACCAGGCTCCAACACTTGGATAATCTGTCTGCTCTCTTGCTCTGGATCACTCCAAGTCTCCAAGATGTTTTCTTTTCTTGATAGTGCCAATTTTAGTTTATAAAATGGGTTCACATGAGGTCAAGAGGAGTTACAGTTCAGTAGTCAAATCTTGAGCAAGAGTTACAGCAGTGCCTTTGCTTCTCTTTTGTTCTCTAGCATCTGTCCATGATTGTTCATGGCCTTTGGGGCATTTAGTGATCCCGGCGTCATTCTCCAGATGCAGCAAGTCAAGAACTGGAGGTAGCAATAAATACCTCAACAAGAACGAAATCTGCAGCATCTGTTCAAGATCTTTTTTGCTTTCATTTATTTCGACTTCTGTAAGGGAGTGAGGCATCCGAGATTCTAAAGGAGATGCATTGCAGCACAAGGCTCGGAGAGAATTGAGTTTTGTTTTTTTGTTTTTGGTCGTGGGGACATGAAGAGCGGCAGCGCCTCCGCGCCCAGCGGCGGCGGCGGCGGTGGCCTGGCGATCACCGAGCGGCAGAAGCCGTCGCCGTCGTGTGTGGCGGCGCTGTTCCAGATGTTCGCCAAGAGGAAGCTCTTCTCCTCGTCCTCCAAGAAAACCAAGCTGCTTCCCCCAGGTGAGATTGCAATGGAACCGCGTTGTCCTTTCTCTGCGCAAATCATTCCCCACTCCCCTCCTTCTCGCAACTATGCGAATCCGCCGCTTTGCGTAAGCTTTCGTCTTCGGTGTTTCAGTGCGCGCGCAGAAGTTCTCGCCTGGGAGACCGCCGGTCGGCGGCGACAAGACGGCGGTGGCCAAGATGAGGCCCCTTCTGGTACGCTGCACTCACCCCGTTTTCTCTCTTCATCACATCACATATATTTTTGGTGGTGAAACTGCAATTTTTTCTTCGAATTTCTGGTTTTGAAGTTGTGATGAACTCACCATGATATTTTGGGACCTTTGGCTTCTGCAAAACCATATGCCTGAAATGTCAAATTCTCCTGCCCTCAAGCCATTTACCATTTGTTTTATTCCCCAATAGTTCTAACTCTTTCATGTTATTTTTCCTTCAGCTTGATTCTGCAGATGACTCAAGAAGCAAAATTGAATGCAATGGCACCAGTCACTACCTACAGCCTGGCCAAGACAGAAAGTACAGCGAGAACGAAATGTGTGCTCCGGGGATGGTGGCCCGGCTGATGGGTCTCAGCTCGATGCCGGCTGTGAGCCATCAACGGCCAACCAAAGCCACAGACTCCTCTGAACCCGGTGAGGGCTGGAATTCAGGCTGTCAAGATTGGTCTGGTACGTCTCGGAGCATAGACACATCACCTCAGAAGCAACAGAAGACAGGGCAGCTCATAGATGATCGGCGCCACGACAATGCAGGTCAGTTCAATGCTCCAGATACACGGCCATTGTGGCCACGGAGGCATGCACACAAGGTAGCCTCGCCTGTTAAGAGCCCAAGGTCAATGTCCAGCAGGAACAAGGCCCGGCTGATTGAAGCAGCAGTCAAGGTTCTGGAACCTGGTTTGCAGTCCAGGAATCGCCGTCTCTCTTGGAGACATTCATACTTGGAGTATCCATGCAGCAGCGGTGATGGTGCGCCCGGTGCTGCTGCTGTCCTACATAATGTGTCCGATCAATTCTTAAGAGATATGTGCGATGTTGACATACCAAGATTAGGCGCTCACAATACAGGAGCTACCTCTGTGGACAATTCTACTTCTGACCAGAGGACTGAAGAGGATACTTGTAAGAAGAGCATTCCGAGTAGGAGGTCAGACCAGAATGGATCATGTCAATTGCAACCTGAGTACTTGCTCTTCAGCTTAACTGAGAAGGCTGGATTTGGGGACAGTGTTCAGAAGATCTCTAATTGTATTGCTGATACAAACCAAGATGTACGGAAAAAACAGCTGAGGAGCAAAATATCCCAGGACAGTGCTCCTCATGGCCCTCTAAAGCAAAACAACCTGAAGCAGAATGCACTGCCTGCAGCTTGTGGAACGGCAGATCCAAGATATGTGACACAAAGTAAGAAGCATGGAAGTGGGGAGCGAAACATGAGAAACAGAACTCAGGACTTTATTTCTCTGAACAAAAGGATGAATGACAGTGCATCTTTGAGGTCAAAAAGAAAGGCACTGGATAGATTTGGCGAGTCACATACTAGTGCAGAGAACAAAAACATGAGCACAAAAGGTTGTCGAGCCAGCAACCTTCATGGTGGAACCTCTAACAAGCTGAAGCTAAAGACTGGAACACCAAAAGCTACGGAGAAAGACATGATAATTGCAAAAGGAGCAGGGTTAGTCAGTGAGAAGCCGAAGCCTGCCAGCCCAAACTGTGCAAGAAGTGATTTCCAGAGACAGCCAGTGTCACACAATGTTTCCAGGGGCAACAAAAAATCAGGCATCATTTCTCTCACTTCCAGCTCACCGATGAAGGTCGCCCCTACTTTGCGTGGCGACAATGCTAGTGGAACTGGTACTGCTGTTCAGAGATCTCCAGTTGATACTTGCCCTAAGAGATGCTCTCGTAGAGATTGTCAAAATATGTCTCCTCAAGGAGACATAGTTTTCTGGGAAGATTTACAGGGCACGTCAAATCTGGAGTCCACTGAATCTGTTTTCTACAAGCAAGATGAGGTGAAAAATAGAGTTATTCTTGGTGGCAGAACAGCCTCTTCTTTGTTTGAAAAGAAGAGTGGTGGCCATGTTACAGAGGAATATTTAAGCAACGAACTGGTCAAGCATCACAACTCAGTGGATTCTGCGATTTATGACGGCAATGACCCTTATAAAGTGGCCCACTTGCGTGAAACTCGTAAGAAACATGCGGTCAGTACTCTTGATCTTTCTTGTTCTCAACCATGGTGTGCTGTTTTCATAAGTTTCTGACAGAAAATTCCTTGGTCGCTACCATCTGCAGGTTGATGCAAAAGGTAGCAAACCATCTCCATCTATATCCAGAGGCAGCAATAAGCGCAGTCCTACATCTATTCTTCAATCTGGAAATGCTGATGATGCCTTCGTTCCTGGTATTCCACGCAATACTGCAGGTAAGGAAACAACCTTTTTTTTGTGTGTGCACTCACAATAATCTAGCTACTTCTGCCCTTCCTTTTTTAGAATTTCAGTCTACAAGTAACAACTTTTGCTAGCGAACACTGTGGTTACCTAATACTTTTATACGCCATTATTATGAATAACATGAACATCCTGGTAGATATATTGAGTTGTGCTTTGACAATTTCTTGTCGTTAACTATTTCCAACAGAAGCTACCTTCACCAACAGCCATCCAAGGGAAACATGCACAGTAGCAGCTAGCATTGTGCAAGATACAACTACCGAGAGCAACCCCAGATGCGGCGATCCTAATTTTGGCCAGCATGGTGTTCAACCATCTGAACCCGATGAAGTCCAAGACAGCAAGCTGAAACACTCTGGAGAGGTTACAACAACTGTCGAACTGCTGCTAACAAACGTCCGCGCTTCTACTCGACCCAATAAATCAGAGGAATCACCCAAGGCATTCCTCCTCCGAACGACAGAGTGCGCTCTCACCACCTTGACGACAGGCTCCAACTCCAAGCAGGAGGCATTCATCAGCACCGCCATCATCAAGGACAAGGAAGCGAGCGCGCTGAGGAACCTCGCGCTGGACTTCGTCTGGGACTGCCTGGACTCGATGTGCTCGCAGCTCTGCGACTCCGGCTACAGGTCGTTCTCGGAGCTGCTTGCTCTGATGTGCACCGAGGAGAGGCTGGCGGACAGGGTCGGGAAGGAGATCGCGAGGTGCGGTGGCATGGCTGGGAGGAGCTTGGACGAGCTGGCTGTGGGCGAGGTGGAGCGCGCGGTGGAGGCTGGCATGGATCCCATGCTCGAGGTGGTTCAGATCGGCGCCCAGATCGAACAGGATCTGGTCCAGGAGCTAGTAGACGAAATCGGAGTAGATGTGTTCAAGCCTTGGTGACTTCATAGCACCCTATGAATATATGATTGCTTATTAGTTCTATTTTGTTTTGCTGTAATACTTGGGATGTTTGCCTGCCGTGCTGTCGCAATGTTTGCAAAGTGCAAACGAAATTTCGCCTAGGAGCAGTGCTCGACAGAATTGTCATGGCAGCATGCATTGCTTGACGCTAGCTTCCCAATGCTACTAGAGAAGCAGATGACCCTTCAACGTTAGCATGCAGTGCGCGGACTCGCAGCCATGCTCAATAATGTCACCGCACCGGGTCACCGTGACGAGCGAGACCAGGAGCCCCGGCGCTTTGTACGGCCACAGCTCACAGGTGAAGGAAGGACAGAAAGGAAGTAGCAGTTGGGGTTGCGGCCCGCCAGGTGAGAAGCACTCGCAAGGAGGTACCGGTTGGGCCTTGCTGGAAGTTTGGATCTCCCAAACGGGCCATGGTGACTATTAATGAAATTCGATTCTAAAAAAATGAAAACGGATCGGTTTAGTATTTTGGCTTTCGGTTATTTTGGTTGTTCCGATTCTAACTGAACTAACCAATTTTTTCAGCAGAGGTTAATACAACAAAAAAATGTACAAATTTTAAAGTAAATTTAGACAACACTACCTCTATTTCATATACTAATAATTAATAAGGGAACAATAGCAATCTAGCACCACAAATACATATCAATTCAATATGAGACATTACACATAAATCAAACAGGTTGATGGTTTCTACGGCTGATAAGTCCGGCTGAAACTGATCTATTGTGAGAGAAAAACATTGCGACATTGGTTGATAAGCCAGGCTGATAAGTTTAAACAAACAAGGCTTACTAGTCTTACAAAATATAAGTAAGTAAAATACAATTCATGTAACTGAATTTTTTTCGTTCGATTTCTCAGTTTGGTTTAATTATGCCTAGCCTGTGGTCTCAGTCCGTATTTTTTTTAGCAGCGACAAACCAGGTACTATACCAACATGAGGCTTTGGTGCGACTCACACCAGAATGACCCACGGGAACATATCTGGTGCTCCCACCCAAATGTGTTTGAAAATTTTGAGACGCAACAAATGTGATAGAACCGATTAATTTATAACAGCACAAGTACAATGGCAACTACCAAAACGATCGCACTGTTATACTTGAGTCCATATAAACCCGATAGTCCATCGAATACCACAAAAGGTCTCGATTCATCGTTAACATACAACTAAGATCGTACATGATTCAACATATATGCCACATATTATATAGAATTCACAATTACATTACCATCCATCGGAGTACAATTAAAAGTTATTACAACCCAAGTTCAAATAAAGTAGTAGTAGTAATAACAGTAGTAGTAGTAGCGGAAGCAAATATAGTTTTGAAACTAGCATCTCACACCCTTGTTTAAATACTTGCCAGTTTGTGATCACATCTCACAAAAGCATCATAGATTAGATATATAGAAGCGCCTTGCCCATGTCCTACTCCTCACCCACAGCGGGACAAAAGCAGTTCTTACAATACCCATGATAGATTATATTATCTGCAACAAGTGAAGAAATAAACCCTAAGTGCAAGAAGGTACTCAGCTAGACTTACCCGTCATAAACAAAAAATAATGTGACTCTAAGATCATATAAGGCTTTATAAGTGGAGCTAGCTTGACAATATTTTACATAAAAAGCCACTAGTTTAACTATACATTTTATAATTCGGGTATTAAGTTAATTATAGCTATTTACCTCTAGATTAACAACTAACATGTGCTAAACATGTGATATATCATTATGTAGCATCACAATAATAACTATAGTTGGTGTAGCATTCCCATGTTCAATATAACCATCAAATTTTATAGTCCAATTACTACGATGTTGAACTAGTCGAGTTTCTCACTATCCGGGAAGAGACGACGATTCGAATCGGTTGCAACCAGCTGGTCAATTATTCCTAACATAAACCCACACTTTCCCCGTCGGAGTCGCGTCGGGTCACCTTTGGTACAACTCAGGTACACATTTCGCGGGTTCGATCAGCGCCGCACAACCACGGACAACCAACTGCCAGGACGTTTAGGCCCGGTCTGCCCTTGGGCTCACGTCTGGCTTCCCGCATATCCTTACTACCATCCAGAGTGCGCACTCTAACAGAATGAGGTCCAGCCTGAGTTGAGCTACTCGGTTTTGCGGTTGGAACGAGTTATCCGGCCAGCTAATTAAGAGGCATGCGTTCAATCTCGACAGAAGCGCCAACAATGGTACGGTCCTTAATCGACATAGACGGGATCAACATAGCCAACCCACACCATGTGCATATAAGATCTCGCTCGGTCTCCACTTAGATAACATCCCATAGTTATTTTCCACGATAACAAATATAGCCAACCGTGCTTCGATATCCACATCTATCTCGCAGATGACAGAAAATCACCTGACTTCTATCGATCTAAGCATGGCTAAGCATATGTTTGGCCCTGGACCTACATAGGGTTCAAGGTATATTTCTGAATAAGGTAGTTCTATGCATCAAGTATTTCCAACCAACTCTTATAACCTAATGCATCAAACATAAAATGACTCAAGTGATATTTGTAAAAACATAGGAGGCTTAGAATGTTTCGGGGCTTGCCTTTTAGAAAGAAGGTATGCCTGTAATCGGGGCACTCTGGTAATTCTTCAGGAGCCTGCTCCTCGCTTTCGGGGACTACCTGCTGTGGTGCCTCCTGATTCTCCTCCTCCTCTGCCTCAAACTACAAGAGTGTGGTTCCTTCTAGCGATCCTATATGCATGAGCGCAAAATAAGATACAAGAATACACAGTAATGATATGGATGATATGATATCATGCATAAACATAAATGACCTTAACAATAAGGTATTAGGGTGATAATAAGATTAACTTTCTTTTACTGAGTAGGTGCATATCTTCTCTCTAGTAATTAAACAAACACCTACTTAGTATTTTCTGAGTTACAAGACAACAGCTAATTGTTTTGACCATAACTGAAGTTATACACATCCAAACAATATGATTGTAGACTTTCTGGAAAGCTTATAAAATTTCCTACAACCTTATTTTAATTATCTTAAGGTGATTCAGTAGATATATAGGTCAAACAATTCAATCTTTCATATCTGTCCAGAGGACAAACAAATCTGATAGCATACTTCTAACAACTATAACTCTTAAACCATTAGGTCTATGACCATAAAATTTTAGTACAAACAATATGAGTAAGTTATCTACAACTTTGTTATTAACAAGTTTTACAAGAAAGGTCACTATCATCATGGATTTGTTAACACAACATAAACTACTCATACAACCATCTAATTAAATTATAGAGCCATAATTAACTAGTTGCCTATAACCAATTATTTCTGAGCGTCACTACTAACAACAGATCATATGCATCACAAGGACCCTAAAAATATTATGGTTAAGCCCAAATAATTTATTTATATTCATTTATTAATTTTCCTTATATAATAGGGTGATTTAGAGGATAAATATTTCTAGTGCTCAATAAATTTTGAAAAAATTACAGTAGGTTACATATAATGCCAATAGTCTACTGTACAAATTTCATATCATTTGGATAAGTATAACAACCTCTACAAAAATAACAAGTTGCATAGGCTTATTTTAGCAAAATAGTTTAGCCTAGTGAAAAGTGTCAAACAACATATTGTATATTTTTCTTACTTTCATCCTAGTATAAGAACACCATGTAAAAATTTGTATGATCATATGTTATATATTTTTACCCCATTTATTTTCACTAGAAACTAGCAAATAATCAAGGTTAAATAGAAAGACCATATTCTAAGTATGTCTTCTATAGGTTTAGTACTTTTTCTAGCTATAGCATGCCAACACAAGACCAGCAAAATTGGAATCATAATTTTTGCACTTCTCTAGCTCAAGTTATGCATTTTACAAGATAGAAACAGATTTAAAAGCACTTATCTAACTCAATTTAATTCTCCTAGAAAAATATTCTAAATAGTAGGTTCATATTTTTATTAAATAGTATACTTCATGATGAATCCAACAAAATTTGGTTCACCCAAATTGGACACTCCTAACTCAAGATATAAATTTTTAAAGTTTTGCATTCAAATCTGTGAAAATAAATAAAGAAAATCAATTTCAAATCGGACCAAGCAGTTAGGTACACCCGGTCCATGCACCCACGGTGGCTGACAACGGGGGACCGCAGGTCAACCGGTCCCACACGTCAGCGACACAGGAGTAGAGCGCGGCGTTTGATCGGCGATAACTCGTCGACGGTGAGATCACCAGCGGTGAGGCCTTCACCACTATACTCGCCTCTTCGAGCCGCATCGAGGGGTACCCTCAGTTGGCTCGGCGCATCACCGGAGCAACCTCACCGGCGAGCATGGCGGCTCGATGGCGGCGCACGGTGGCAGACTCATCGTCTTCGGCGATGGCACGGCCAGGCGAGCGTGGTTACAGCTTCTACAGACCCTAGCGGAGCTCTACGGTACGGATCGAACCATGGTGAAGCGGCGGTGAGCTCCGGCCATGTGCATGGTGGCACGACGGCGCACAGTGCATGCGGCGGCGCTTGTCGTTCTGACAAGACAGTGATTGGGGACGGGTCTCCATCATAGGAGAAGGTGCTACGGGTCACGGCGGTGCGAAAACAAACATAGAAGGGGGAAGACGGGATCTAGCGAGGGCCGACCGCGGCAAGCTTGAGCTCACGGCCATGGCGGGCGCGCTCGGTGCGACGACGCGTTCATGCGCGGTGGCGGCGGTAGCGGTTAAATAAACGACGACGTGAGCATTTATGACCTAAGGCGATGACGGACCAAGAGAGAAGAAGGTAGGAGGAGCAATGGATAAGGCTGGCCACGGCGAGCTCGGAGCTCGGCGACGCTCCGCGGCCATGGTGGCGACGGCGACGGTGCAATGCGGCCTTACCCGTGCTCAAACGATGGCATTAGCGGCTTCGGAAGGTGGAGAGGCTCACGGCGGTGCTGTGGGCGAGGTGGATTGGATGGTGGTGCTGCGTGGGTGGCGAGCAAGCGCGGTGGTGGTGTGACGGTGATGGTGCGATGCTCCGCTTCGCTTCGGCGAGCGCGAGAGAGGCAGAGCGAGGGCGAGAGAGTGAGAATCGGCGGGCGTAGCGGCTTCGCCTCCCTTTTCTCCCCCTGCTGGCCTGACCGGACGGGCCGACGTCGGCGAGCGACCTGGCAGCGGTCGGCCACGACGAGCTCGGCCGGCCGATTCAAATCGGTCGTTAGGCCGTCTGACAGTGCCACTTTGCACCTCTATAACTCCTAATCCAGTTCGAGTTAGCAAAAAGTCCATTAATAGAAATTGTGGAGCTATAAGAGATCTACAACTTTGCTTCAGAAAGTTTTGTCTATCGCGATGGTTTTCAAACTGCAATGCTCCAAAGTAGGCTACTTTGAATCTGAAAACCAGCTTTAGACAGCAAAATTTCTGTCCCTAAACAACATTTGATTGCTACTTTGAAGCTATTTTTGACTATATTGGGCACTGAATTAGCTCATGACCCTTAAATAAAGTTTGTTCCCCATGAGATAAACTACAACTTTTGTTGACAGTGCACTACCATGCAAACACTCTAAGCTACCGTTCAACTTTAGTCAAACTAGCATCATAAAAAATGATATTTTGAGTAAACTAGGACTTAGAAGCAAAATTGACTCATGTCATGAATACAAATATCGTTCCATTTACCATCCTAGATGTGTCTAAGGTGTTTTTATGACCTCACAACCATCTCTTGCATTGGTCACACATTATCACAAGCATATGCATGTATATAATCAACATCACATGTGATAATATGTGAGAATAAGATGAAATTCCATATGCTCATGCTCATGAATGCTTGGATGATGTTTGTGCTCATGAAATGCAAGTGTCAAATGTAATGCTTAACATTAGGGTGTTACAACAAAAATCTATAGAGATAAAAAAAAAAGTGAAATGAGCAGTTGAATAGTTGTGGATTTCAAATCATAAACAGTACGATCCACAACTACTCAAGTGACAATTCATTTTTGCATCTCAATTTTACATAAATATAGAACTTGGTGGCTTGATTCATATTTCTGTTGGGATTTTTTTAGCACATTGGATGAGGTTTTTTCAATGTTATCCTAACGCTAACTTGTAAACAGTTGCTCACTTGTCGTTTAGCCATTATTCGGACAAAACGGACACAAAAAGGGCAAGGTGATCCTTTAAAATGATAAACGGCTGATTAAATGAAAATGGCATACCACCGTGTAAAGTTTAAACGGTGTATAAATGGACTAAACAACTGTTTAGGCGAATGGCAGTTTTTTTCTTTTAATTGGTGCACGGGAGCATGGGAAGGACTGCGAGCACCGAATATGTTCTCCTAGGGGCAGGACAGGAGGTGCGACAGTTTAGGACTCGCACAAGAAAGGGCGTCTCGGACCTTGGGCATGCAGTATCTTGTGTGTGTATTGCCGCACTACAGTTGAAGACGACACGTCCAGCCGTAGTGATGTAGCCATGATGCAACCACTGCGAAACATTGCATTGAGCAACAGGTCACGTGGATCTATCTCGGTGCTGCATCCTTATCAAGGCAATCCATCATCGTGGATTGCTGGCCATGTCGCTGGAATCACGCTTGTCACTTGTCAAAAACGATCACTCATCGCCTTGCTTGAGAGCTTGTCGATTTCCATACATGATTGTGCTTTTCTTCCCATCCCTCCTTACTCCCAGCGCTTAACCGTTTATTTTTTAGTTAAAAACTCTATATCCCATAGCTTATTTGATCGGCGTGTTAGATTATTAGGGTTTTAAACTATTAATTCTAATATTGTAGCATTGACACCACAAAAGTAATTGTATCTAATGTATGGACAATATTAGTCGATCTCAGTATTGTCCTTCGTGATCTTGCTTACAAGTTACCACTTGCTATCACAACTACGGTACCTTCAAAAACGATAATACTCTGTGAGGGCGTCCGTTCGACCGGCCCAACAACCAACGACGGGCCTGCTCCATCTATGGTCTCTTCTCTGTTTCTACGCTATAACAACTGAGAAATCTCCAACTCCCTCGACTCGCTTCGCTTGTCGCGGTGAGCCGCGCCGTCCGCCCGCCCCAAGCCGCCTCGTCGCCGCGCAGCGCTCCCATCCCGCGTCGCGTCGTGCCATGCCCTGTTCCCGCCCCTGCACTCCGTGCCCATCCTCCGCCGTTGTGCGCCGTGCCTTGTCTCCTGCCTCATCAAGGTGCTGCCGCCGCCGCCGTTCCCCTGGCTGATGGAGGAGCTTCACGTGACACCGCTGCCGCACCGGCGAACTCCATGCGCCGCCGCCGACCGCAACGACGAGCCTCCATTCCTCCGGGGTGCAAGGCCACATTGCACTGAAAGTGCATGTTGCAAGCGTATATTTCTAGTGTTTCAGATATTTTATCTAGATGTTGCATGTTTTTCATCTAGATGTTGCAAAAGTAGATCGGGATGTTGTACATGTTGTAATGGCTATACACGTATGTTGTAAATGTGTATGTTTTAATGTTTCATTTGTTTTTTCAGACGTATGTTGCAAGTGTGTATGTTTGGATGTTACATATGTTTCATACGTATGTTACAAGTGTTTTATCTAGATGTTGCATATTGAATGGCTTTTCATGAGTTTTCGATGTTTTTTGCAAGTGTTTTAGATACATGTTTCAAGTGTTTCATCTGCGTATGTTACAAATGTTTCATTGGATGTTTCAAAAGTACATCAGATGTTGCACATATTGCAATGACTCCGGTGGGTGATAGACAGCGGCCTGGACAGGGCTTTGGCTCCTATCTCGCGCGACATGCCTCGCCCTCTCCTCTTCTCTCCCTCCCCTCCTCTCCCCTCCCTTCCCTTCCCTTCATCTTGCCTCGGCGTTGACGTGTGGCGTTGAGATAGGGGTCATCAAGGGTACTGCGTTCGGCGTGGGATGCGATGTGGGGCGCGGGGTCATGGGATACGATGCAGGGCTTGGGGACGTGGTATACGATGCAGGCGCAGGTGCAGCATCCGGACGAGTCCTGCAGGACGCCCGGGCTTCAAAAATTGTAACTCTCAGACCCCTCGTACGCACGCGTGGGTACTTTTTTTTGAGATAATACATCCAGGTGGGGCTCCTCCTCCCAGTTTACTTTTTAAAAAACTATCACAGCTACAGTCACGAGGTTTCTACCCCGTTGATAATATTTGTTCAAATGAATTGCGGAAAAGAAATTACAGAGGGCGAGAGTTGCAAAAGAAATCAAAATCTCGCCTGGTTAGTTTGATGTAGAACACTCTGCCGTATCAGTCTTGATGACTCTGGTGTTGTAAGAACCACAGAAGCCACATTTGTGGTAGAGCCAATGGAATCGTGACCTACCTTTTCTCTCACAGTCGTTACAAAGTATATCCTGGAACAGTCACGCAAAGATGGTAAATATATGTGAGGTATATGAAAGAATGAAACTGGGATTAGGAGAATGATTTACCTGGCACCGGTCCCTGTATTCCTCAGGAAGCTGTTCTGCAGTCAGCAAACCATCAAGCATGCCAAAATACACCTTCAGAAACGAAATGTCGCATTAGCTATTTACTGGACTGGAAGAAAAGGGCAAACGGCTGTAGGACTTAATATCATCAAGAACTGTGAACAGAATATGATGTCCAAAACTTAAATGAACTATAATTTGGAATGCACCGAGTATTTATTTGTTTCAAAACGAAATACTTCAAACCTACAGGGGTCCTTGGGCATCCCTCAGATTAATTTGGAGAAGAGAGCACAAGAATAGTATGCTTATGGACTACCAATGGCAGAGCAAACCGAAATGGTGAATGCAAAATAACTCTACGATTAAGTAGCGTAGTTTACTGTCATATCTCCCAAGGATTTGCAGCAGATTGGACTAGTGTAGTGGGTACAAGTATATGCCTGAAATAGTAAAATCGAATCTATTAGAATTAGAACAGAACTTACCCCATCCATAATAACAAATGAGAATGCTACTAGATTGTCATACCTGAAAGCAAGCCGAATGCATGAAGTGGCCACAAGGAAGACCTTTAACTGGTGCACTCGATGTAAATAAAAAGTCGCAGCAGATGGGACAGTTCATCTCTAGCATCTTTTCCCGGCATTTGTGTTCTATCATCTTTATGCCAAGGCAACAATTGCACTTCATGCAATGAAAAAAATCAGTGCCTAATCCGCTCCCAAGACGACACAAGTTGCAAAAAGGACAATGGTAGACACTCCTGAGAAACAACATAGAATTAGGAGTGCAAAATATCACAAAGATGAACCACATCAAACAAGAATTTAACTTCAAGTAATAATGCAATGAAGTAAACAAACGAGGCACATAACACATTAGATCCTCATAGCTTGCTTTTTTTTCTCTCGAAAAACTCACAGCTTGCTACTTTAGTGGCTTGAACTTTTGCATGAAGCTTAAGTTAGAGAAGAAAATAGCACAGGGCAATTTTACTGTTCATAAGTAGAATAAGACAATAGGATGGAGAAATTTGTCCACCCATCAAAGACAAGGATTGTATAGTGCAGAACAAAATAAAATGTAGATCTGCACAGTATTACCTTTCATCATCGAAGAACTTGCATATGATACAATAATACTTTGCCATGGACAGTCCATTGCAAGAAGGGGATTGGCAATTTGGACCGACCGGTTGAACATTCTAACATAGCATGCACATCATCTCCACCACTGATTTCCTACAAATATTAGCTCCACAAAGTAAGCAAAGTATAATTGTTTCTTTTTTCTTCGTAACAGATTTCTAAGTTCTAACAATCAACACGCCATATGACGGAAAAGGTTGTCCAAGTATACAAATTGAAGTATGTTCTTTCGTCCTTATTATGCAAAACTGATATACTAAGAGCCAAATATCCCACTGGAAATAAAAGCTCCAATTAGAAAGTTCAATGACGAAAAACAATTCATTTCAAAAGGGAGGCACAGGTCCATAGCAGCACCACAAACAGCTATTTCCAAATAAAATGTCATGCTTAATTGATATTGGTAGTTCGATGTTAAAATGAAATCCTTGAAATTCTACTAGCATAAGAGGTGCATAAGCATCCCTGATCCCTCGGCAGGAAAAGTGTGGACGGTAAAATAAATGGTAGTGGTGAAGATACCTGTCCATTGTATGGTCACTAACTTTATCATGACAGAATCTGCATGTGAATAGCTTATTGCAGCATGCAGCAACAAGCTTGCAGTTTCGTTTGTAATGCTCACAGCCAAATATTTGTTTCTCTGGGTCTCGGTACGAACGAACACATCCAGGTCGTCGTGTACATCCATTATGTCCTTCGACGCTTGGTTGTGGTGATTTCTGCTGAGCAGCTATCCAACGGCTGAAATTTACAAATTTAGAAATATATATAACACAGACTTATTTTCTGTATTCTTAGGGGGAGATAATAGTCAACTTATTTACTTTATTTTTAAATAACAAACCTGGTCATGAGATTTTGTATCAGATAGGCCTTCCTCCTTGGATCAAGAGTAGAATCTCGAGAGACCTTTCGAATCTCAGCCTCGAGCTCACTCTGGTTCATTCGGAAGACGTCCTTCCAACCAGGCCTAAACATCTGATCATTTTGTTCAAAATTCTCCTGAAAATGATTTTCTACAAGGCCAAAGTAAAATATCTCAGTGACATAGAAATCCCATCCACCATTCTAGAGGAGAGGAAAACCAACTGAACAAACCTTCTGAAAGAGTAGAAGCCTTGTCTGATGGGTCAGATGAAGTTGAAGGTCCCTTCCACCATTCATTTAGCCATTCATCGAACATCGTATTTTTCGTTGCTTGCTTCCTGGCATTTATCATTAAAGTCCACATCTTGGCTTGGAGGATGTACCGGTAGGCTCTTGTCATTTGTCACTTGCCAATACTGGACATTTGGTGAAGGCCGGATGGGGATAGCGCTCACCTGTGGCCACAATTCAAGTTCTTCTCTGTGAACGTGATTTGACAATGTGACATGGATAGACTTGCATAATCCTTGAAGCTTTGTCAAAAGTTCATTACGTTTTTTAGCCCAATCAATCTCATTATTTGAAATATCATTTGTCCCAGCTTCAACATAAAGAGGATGGCTCAAACCATCATGTAGTTGAGAAAGTTCAGATAGGACAATGGATATATCTTGGAACAATTCTTCTTCCTGCTTGTGATCAAGAGTGTATGAATGGCTAACATTGTGCAATGTCTCCTTCGATTCAAGAGCAGGAAATACAATCTCATCTTCAGCATTGCTGTGTGCTCTATATAGACCCCACAGTAAACGAAACCTTCCGATAAATTGGCGAAGGCAAGATTCATTCCCGTCAATAAGCTTTCCAGATTCCACGTCCAAAAACTCTAAATCCTTACGAATTGCCTTGTGGAATTTGAATATGGTATCAATTGGCTTAGAAATGTTATCTGGGCCAGATGATAGTGCATCTGTCACCCATGAAAAAAGGCTTGAATATAATGAAAGTGCAGAATTATTGTAAGGCAGAGAGCGAAAGGATTTTGCAGGGGTAGATGAATTAACACCAAGGTAGCTACTTTCTACTCTTAACCTGGGAATGTAACAGGGTCTGTTGTTACATGGCAAGGCTTCCGTATCAGCATTTTGTGAGCAGTGACTTCTGTTAATGTTAGTGCTAGATTCTCCATGACTTGCTCGCTTAACTGGTTTCGAAAAAGCTCCATTGCTACTTCCATAACATGGACAGAATGACTGGCATGTTTTGGAACCATTTCCATCTGATGCACAGCCCACCGCTCCTGATGTGCATATGAACTTTCCAGGGTTGGATGTGTCCTCCAGACGACCTTTGCATGCCCAGCCAGAGAGAAGGGTAACCAATGCAGTTTCAGACGAAGGTGCTGCGATGCATTCAATAAATATAAAAATTAGGAAAGGTATGCGAAGCTGTTGTATTATTCAAGAGAGAGGTAGGAACATAACAGAGATAACCTGCCAATCGCATATTCTGAAGAAAAGACACTGCCTCTGCATCATTCAGCTTCACTACAAACCATGGTAGAACATGTTCCAACAGCTTTAGTGGCATGACACATAGACTCTGATATAAAAGTTCCCTCTGTTTCTCTGGTGAGAACTTTATCCTAGCTTTAGGAAGTACCTGAGTAATAAAGGTAAACAAGACATGATGATCTGTTGGGAAAGGGTTAACATTCTGACTGATAGGACAGCAGTCCCAGCTTCTTTAGTACTAAACTAACCTTTATTTCCTCATCATTGAAGTGACTCTCAATTTTCTGCATTATTTCGTCAGCTTGTGAACATAACTCAGAATGAAAATCAACTACAGTTGACTTGGCTCCTGTTATTTGAATCTGTTCAATTAAACTCCTAAATTCATTTAACCACTGTTCTTCTTCAGCATGCTCCTGTACAAAAGATAATTCACCATCCACTGCAGGGAATATAACTTGATCCTCGGCAATACTGCAGACCAACAAAAAAATCAATTGATGAAACTAAGAAATCAAGATAATAGACTTCACAGGAGAGCACAAAAAAACATATTTCGATATAAAACACCAAGTTTTGACCAAAAGAATAATTTATATTATAGAGAAGCAAAATAAAGAACATATTCTAGCGTATGGCTAGTATTTTCACCTCTTATCTGGTGTGTCTAAAGCATGTATCAGAACATTAACAATTTGTTGCCACAATACATGTAATATAATATAATGTGCAGCCGAATAAGTATCAGCAAGTCTAACATGATAAAAGAATATTCACATGAGTTGAGATTCGAAGCCTCATACCTGTGGAAAATGCACACATCTGCAATAAATTGCAGCCTCATATTAAAGCCTGCTATGTCAGAAAAATCTCCAGATTGCTGTATCCTTTTTGTCTCTTCTGCTATATCCCTCAGTTCTCTCCGAATAGCATTGTGCCAATACAGAATTTCATCAATTGGATGTGTGACAAGCTGACTAGATTCTGTGGACTCCCTCTTTCCAATTTTGGAGTGTTCAAGTGAACATACATGTTTATCTATTCGACCAGAGCTAGACTCACATGTAGAACTACTTTCTGAATAAGGATCACTGATACCTTGTGCTATTGTTCTGAATGATTTCCCTCCAAACCACGTGAAAACAATCTTCACAAAGTAAAAAAACTAAATTAAGTGAGAGACACCAATAACTTTACAAATGGAAAGTTAAGATGTGTGATGCCATAATCATGCGGACCTCTTGGAGGAGTTTTTCTTCAGGAACTATTTTACTTAGGCAGTCAAGAATATCTTGATTCTCATCAGTTGAAACAGAAGAAGATATCTCTTCAGGAACTATTTTACTTAGGCAGTCAAGAATATCTTGATTCTCATCAGTTGAAACAGAAGAAGATATCCATGGAAGGAATTTTGCCATCATATTTACAGGGATACTACATAAGAACTGCCAGACCAGATCTGCTTGCTCTTCATGTGAAAACTTCTTGATGAGCAACGGGAAGACCTGCAAAGTTCTCAGAAGATTAGACCCATTATATGCCCTGCGTCCCAGGCTCCCAGCTGCTAGCACTAAGGATGCAAATTGTCAAGTTACTACAGCTTCATCATGTTTAGCGTTTTGCTCAGAAAATATTTAGAACTACATATGGGAGTAAACTATAAAATTATGGATGTTTTTTCCTCTCAAATGTGTAGAAGAACCATCAACCATGTGTCATGCATTGAATAGAGGAACCGGTTCAATTGCAAAAATACTATTATAGATGTGACAGAGAACACTAAAAGATTGACAGATATTCCTTATTCCTTATTAAACTAATTGAGCATGCCAACATGTCTCATACTCATACAACCACTTGATAGAGAAACTGAAGGCCTGCAAGCTATATTTCATTATTTCTCAAATTACATTCAAAAGGCAGGACAAATTAAGCAGGGAAACAGGAATACCTGTTCTTCTTCCTTGGACATGTGTTGGGTAACAAACGTCCGAATTGCTCCAGTACAGGATGCAAGTTCCCTCCGAATAGCATCATCATTCTGCACATCCAGTTGTAGCAGAGTGAAGAGATGTGCGAAGAGATCATTTTCTCCTTTGTGTTCAAGAGAATATGTCCCTGCGACATTTTTCACCCGAATATCAAGTGCTGGAAAAATAACCTGCAATCATCAAAAGAAAAGTCTTATACCACAAATGTTCTGTGCATCACGACCGGCTTACAGTTGGCCAATAGATTTCCAGAAATACACCGATCTATGGGCATTAAAATCAGCAATTAATCTATGATAAAAACATGCAAGGTCCATGCTTTGAACAGTTGGTATAATAGGCCCAGCATTTCCCTGTATGGCCGTATGAAACAGGAACAGTAGTTGTAATTGCACATAGGAAGTTAGGAACATATTTGTTTGTAACAATTGCACTGTGTGGATTGCAACCTTCATTTGATCCAAACACCAAGATTCTAACAGGAATGAGTTGTTTCGTAGAAAATAAATAAATAATGTACTCCACTGTAAACAACTCGCAGTAGCCATGCTACTCTAACAAGCACCATGAAACATGTAATTGGAGATGAAACCGCAAGACTAAGGTGCCGTCAAGGTTGACAGTTTACTTTAAGACGTAACTAGAAGTTCACATCAGACTGACAGTAAAATCCAGCAAATCGACACTGATGTCACACACCAGCTAATTGTTTACAGTCACATGGCCTGTACACGTACACGCATATCAAACTGCAATTGCACTTGAAAACTCCTTCCGTTTTCAGATCAGACGCAACCGCAATTCAGCCCAAACCCAAAGCAGATCCTCTGAGCCTAAGCGGCAATTCCGCAACAATGAAAACCTCCCCCCCCCCACCGCAATCACCACAATTCCGCTGGCTCATGTGAACAGGGGGCACTCGTAGCCGCGAAAACCACCGCGACACAAAAATGCGACGAGGAACAGCAGAATCCCCGGCGGCGCGCCGCGCGCCGCGAACCGCACTACGTACCGCGTCCTCGGCGTCGCAGTGGTGCCTGTAGACGGTGAAGAGGAACCGGCAGCGGGCCTCGAGCACGGCCACGTCCCCGCCCGCGCGCCCCGTGGCGAACCGCACCGCCGCGGCGTGCATCCGCTCCAGCTCCGCGCGGATCGCCTTGTGGAAGTAGACGAAGATGAGCACGGGCGCCTCGGCCGCCGACCCTCCCGCGCCGCCATCGGACAGCGGGGGTGGGGACCGCGGGATCGCCGCGGCAATCGGAATCGGGCCCTCTCCGGCCATCGGCGTCGCCATGCTCCGGCTGCGGCTGCGGTGCGCCTGCGCGGTGGCTCCGTGCGTGTGCGTCAGGCTGCGGCTCTTGGTTGCCTTTTTTCTTTAGTTTTTTTTGTACCGGTTGAGTTTTCTTTAGTTTGCTCGCAGCCAATGGGCAACGGTGCGTGTGCGCTGTGCCGCTGTGGTCTGTGGAGTCTCCCTCTGTGCCTGCGCCGGTGGGTGCCTCCGCATTTAAGGTAGAGAGCATGTTTGACCTTGTCTATGTTGGGAAGGCACTTTGGACGTGGTGTGAATGTGTGATGATGTCAATTAGTTTTATCTTCAAAATTTATACTCGATCCGTTCTAAAATAAGTGCATCAAGAAGTCAAATCATTTTAAGTTTAATTGAACATTAATATTTATAATATTTAATAAATATCATTACGTTAATCGTAGAATATTTAATAATAAACTTATTTGAAGATATAAATATTAATACTATTTTTTTATATAACTAGTTAAATTTAAAGGAAATAGTGAAACTATTGCCTAGGGTGTCCTTGAACTTAAAAGTTTTTATCTTAAATAAAATTTTGCTCAATCTCGTCCATCCCCATTAATAATCGCCACGCATCTAGGAGTACATGCAAAATGTCATTGCTACCCTCGCTCTCTCTTTAGCGCATTTGCCATCGGCGAACTTTAATATCCGTTGAGCACTAAAAAAGATATCAGTGCATGGCTGAAGTAGCAAATCAATTTAGGCAAACATACAATTTACATTAATATTTATGGACATGTCTAATAGTTAGCATGAATCATTACAAAGCAAGGCAATCGTATGACATTTCACATGTACTTCTAATAATTAATTAATGGGGATGGACGAATCGATATATATATTAAGGACTAAACTTTTTTGAAAGTTCAGATATAACCAAAGTGAGCCTCTTGACACAATAGTTTAGGGACTAAAAGATATTTCGCCAAATTTAAAAGAGTTTGACTCTTTGAGAAACGTACGTTTATTTTGGAACGGAGGGAGTACTCATCAAAATCTAATCTAATACTAAAGAGTAATGACTTTTCCTCCTCTGTCCCACTTCTTCCATCTCTCGCTCTCATCTTCCCCTCACTCTCTACTCCGTTCGTTAGTCTCATACTCACTCTCGTTCTTCCCTTCATCTCTGCCACGTCAGTCTCTTACTCATCTCATCCTTCCCACACTCTTATTATCCTTTCCTTACTGCTCTGATCCATCGATCTTTTTACTCACTCTATTGTTTCTTCCCTTACTTTCACTCTTCTCGTTTTGAATTTAGAGCTACAGAACATTTGTTGTCACTGCATCCCTCATTAGTTAGTTTCTTACCCACTCTCATCCTTCCCTCACTCTTTGCATCATCCCCTCACCCTCTGTCGGACGCTTGCGCAGATCCTAAGGATGACAACGACGAGAATCCGTGCCTCTCTCCTAGATCTGCGCGAGGCCGAAGAAGGCAAGCGGCTAGTGTCGAGATGGCTAGGCTGTGGTGTTCGTTGATGTGGAGGGGCTCCTGCACGGGCGAGCACGTCAGTGCCTGCACTCACGGTCGCGCAGGAGATGTGCGAGTTCCTTTGCCGCGTTGAGGTCGCCATTGTCTCACCGAGCCACAGCGTCGACCTGCCCTTCTCTCCGACTTTTCACTGGTGCTCTTCATTGGTTGGTCAACGCCTCTCTGCCCTGGAAGCTTTCGGATCTAGCATCACGACGATCATCGTGGTGAGGCCATGCATGGTCATGGCGTCCCAAATGGTCGGGTCATTTGTGAATAATTTTGATATATATACTCTGTGTGATCCAGCAAAACCGAACTGATCCACTACATGTGATCGTGGTGGCACCATATTAGCCCTGGTCCGGCCAAACTGGTCCCCGGTGGCACCATACTGAGAAAATTAAAGCCGATGGTGACTGATTAGGTGACAAGGACTGCCGAGAAAGTGGGAACCCTAATGCAGGTTATTCTGATGCATCCATCTGATATGCTTTTGCACCGAATACTAGATCAACCGAGACGGAATTTTCTGCACGCCTTGCTGGCACTCTGAACCCGATGATGAGGCGATGAATCATGACTTGTCTCGACTCTTTTTTTGTTGTTGTTGAAAATCCCCTGTCTCCGCTCTCGAGGTACAATCACGAGAAGCTAGCGTGAATCATGCACGGGGGCACGGCATGCAGCCAGTACAGTGGGTCCAAGCCAGCCGTCCAGCCAGGTGATGACTTGATGAGGCCTCCTACTCTACTTGCGGCGTCTATCGATCAGGTTTGCCAAGCCGGAAGGAGGATCGCATCGTCGCATATAGAGATGCCAAACGATCGCCGCGGCGAGATCGTATTCGCGGGCCCAAACGGCAAACGCCACGCAGGTACGGCGATGCGCCCTGTCCTCTTTCGGCGGAGGCGGGCGCGGCGTGTGCCGCCTCGCGCGCCGGTCGGGGTCGCCGCGTGGCGACGCTGGCTCGCCGCGAGGAAACGGGTGCCCTGCGGCGGACCCGGCACGCGCGGCACGCGCCCCTCGCGTGTCTGCCCGTAGCTGCTCCGCGGGTGGCGCACACGCCGTCACGTACGCGCGCCGAGCAAACCACCAGTGCTCCGCGTGGGTCTGGTGGGTCCAGCGCCAGAGACGCCAGCCAGTAGAGAGCGCTGGGATTTGCATGTTCGGTTGACTGGTTCGTTTCGTTGTTGGTTTGTAAAGAATTATTGTTGGTTGGTTTGTGTGAGAGAAAAATACTGTTCCGGCTAAAAATTTACGATCGTTTACGACAAGCCATAGCCAAACGAACAGGCTATAGCTCGACCGCAAGTTGGTTCACTAAATTCCAAGATTTCTGGCCCGTTGCGTCTGACTGAGTAGGCCCAACTCTGGACCGTGGATTGTCCTCTGGTCTAGTTTAGTTTTGACACCTATAAAGGCCGTAGTCCGTAGACCTTAAGGATCTTATAGAAAAGGAAAATTGGATATATTAAAAGATACATTTTAAAAAAATGACAAGAAAAGATTTAGGTTTTTACAACTAGCATCCTAAAGATTAATAGATTTTTACCATATTTGTTAAGCTATTGTTAGAGCTGAGATAATAAGTACAAAAACGGAGGTATGAACTCCACCCAAATTGACCGATCCAACACAGGCACACCTAGCCCAAAACACAGGCACCCAACGTAAGGAGAGAGGAAGACACACGTACGCACATTATGCCCGATAGCCAACGGTGGACCTATTAGCGACAGGCGCGACGGACGAATCTTAACACTTACAACAAGACTTGGGGTTTCATCCATGATGCACACGGTGAGGAGCCAGAAATGCGAATTTTATATTATTAGGGGATTGGAAATTGCATTAGCTTGGGGGGCTTTTGCCCCCAACCCCTCCCTCTCTCCGGCACTGGTTGCGTGCCTCCTCCACCCCTTTTCTTTTTCTCTTGTTCCATCTCTTCCTTAGTCTATGGTTTCATGGTTCTCAGCCTTAGTTTTTTGGAATTTTGTAGTGCTGATATGAAAGATAGGACATTTCAGCAAGGATGGATGCTACCAAAGTTCTAAAAATGTAATCTCCTCTGAATGCCACATTTCATATCACTCTAATGGCAAGTTTCAAATAACTCCAACGACACTCGAATGACAAGTTTCAGATCGTTCTGATGAGTGACAGGTTTGAATAGCCAAAGGCTATCTTGGCTTTGAAATGGTTCCTCCACCACTACAAAGTACCGTTGATAGACCAAGAAAAAAATCAAGGCTAGTGGAGAGCTAGAAAAAAAAGACCATATCAATGAAAAAAGGTGCTTTTAGTTTGGCGCATAGAGAAGGATTGCAATGCTACTCAAGATAAATTGGAACAAGATCTTCCACCACCTTACCCGAAAAAAGAAAAATAAAGCCAAAGAATGAATTTTTCTTATCCATGTTGCAATTCCGAGTTATCCACAACTGATGTCGAGCCAACTTGTCCCTCGTAGGAAAAGCAAATCTGAAGCAGGGGAAGCCTCCACAACTGATGTCCAGCCATAAAAAACAATTGTCGACCCCTCTCCAATGCCTCATTCAAGCCTAGGGGTAACAACTAGAAGGATGGCTTCTCTTTTTCCAACTAGCTCAAGAATAACAACTAGCAAAATGCCTGCAATCTCACCTGGAGAAATCATTTGTAGGCTTATCATATACTTTGTCGTGAACCGTGGTCTTTTTGTGCGAGCAAATGTCATGCTGTGACCAATTAGGTATGTAATTTGTTGTTAATGTATTGCTAAAATTTGTGTTAATGTCATGCTGAAAATTGTGCTATATATCTTGCTAAGAAGGTGTGTTACATCCTCCCAAAATCTTGTGTACATATCATTTTATATCCTGCTGTATTGTTGTTAAACTAGGGCTTAAGGTATGTTGTTTAATTGTTTCGCAGCTCCACACCTCCAGTTAACAGTGACTTAAAAGGCATGGTATAAATTTGTAACAGTAACCTTTGAATGCTATTTTTCTAACCTTGAATCTTTCGATGCTAGTTTTCTAAACTTTAGATTTTTAATGGCACAAATCCAATTTTCCCTTCCTTGACACACGTTACCCGCTGCCACTCATTCAATATACAGTGACAGTAATTCCTATATATACATTTACATGCTGTTTGAAAGATGCAAAGAGAGACGTAATTTGCATCAACTGGAGACCAAAATCTCTATTCTATTTTTACATATATATCGATCGGGAGCAAGATCTCAACAAAATGACACGCATCAAGTCATGACATCTTTCGGCCACATATCTTATCGTACTTCTAGATTACCGTGCACTCGTCAAGATGCTCATTGTCCTAGACCAGGCTAATACTGGGGGTTGTACTCATGCTATCCCACGGAGCGTGCACGGTGTCAGGCGAGCGCGGCGCGATGAGGGCGTCTCCCTTCTTCCCGAACCCGTCATCCTGGATGCTCCTGAGGGCGTCGAGCACCTCCCTGATCGGCGGCCGCATCTCGCTGTTCTGCTGCAGGCACCGGAACGCCAGCTCGGCGACCATCGTCATGGCCTTCCTCGTCGCCTCGTCGGAGCCGTACCCGAGGCCGAGGTCCACCAGCTGCTCCAGCTGGCACTGCTGGATCTTGTTGATGGCCATGCCGGCCAGGTTGATCTCGCTGCGGTCGCGGGTCACGTCCACGGCGGGCTTCGACGAGATGAGCTCCACCAGCACGACGCCGAAGCTGTACACGTCGCTCCTGTCCGTCAGCTGGTAGCACTGGTGGTACTCCGGATCCACGTACCTACACATGCCAATGCCATTGCCACGAGGGTAAATAACAGAGAAACACGAGCTTCGATCTTGCCGTCAATGTCGATCAGTCCTGGCTTTAATTTACCCCGGTGTCCCCTGCGGGGCGGTGGAGACGTGCGTGACGTCGAGCGGGAAGAGGCGGGACAGCCCGAAGTCGGCGACCTTGACGTGGAAGTTGGCGTCGAGGAGGATGTTGTTGGTCTTGACGTCGCGGTGCACGACGGGCGGCTCGACGGCGTGCAGGTACGCGAACGCCGCGGCCGCCTCGACGGCGACGCTGAGGCGGAGCGGCCAGGTGAGCGCGCGCTCCGCGGCGCGGTGGCCGTGGAGGTGGTCCGCCACCGTGCCGTTGGGCACGAACTCGTACACCAGCAGGAGCTCGCGGCTGCGGCTGGAGGTGCAGCCGTAGAACAGCACCAGGTTCGGGTGGCGCAGGCGGGAGAGGATGGCCGCCTCGTTCAGGAACTGCTCCACGCGCCGGCAGCTGTTGTTGTACAGACGCTTCACGGCCACCACGCGCCCATCTCGGAGATGCCCTGAACGCACCACCCAATCCAACGTACAATTACATGTCAACAAACTGAAAATAACCTACTAGTAGTAAACTGGCCTAGCTAATAGTGTTTTCATTCAGTGTGATGTGTACCTTTGTACACGGTGCCGAAGCCGCCATCGCCGATCTCCATTGTGCCACTGAAGCTGTCAGTTGCCTCCTCCAGCTCCTCGTACGTGAAGTGGTGCGTCTGCAGGCTGTGGACGCTGCCGGACTCCATGTCAGTGGTGCTACCTCTGGAACGAGGCGTCCCGCCAGAGGCAGTGGGCTTGAGGAGCCTCGAGGACGAGGTCATCTTGTACTGCCTTCTCTTGCGGATGTACAAGCACATCATGACCACAAGAAGCAGGGACAAAACGCCGGCAGCTATGGAGGTCCCTGAAGTTGCAAAATTTGCAAATGGTGAGGACATTGTTCTGGAAAGAACGGGTGCATGGGGTTTGGGAACTGGTAGGATGGCCACTTGCTTAATTTCTGCTAGCACACTGCACTGACTGTTATGCTGACAATCACATTGTGCTTATATTGTCTGCAATATTTCTAAAGATAAAAGTCAATTATTGCCACAATGAACTAAAGAAACCTTCAGTCAAAGACAATTGATCTAAGTGTCCCTAGCTGCGGAGTAACAACAACAATGAATCATTTAAATGATATTTGATCGAATTTATTTACAGTCCATATCCAATTATCCATGCAAGATTATAGTATTACTGGTAGAGCAGACAGAGGTTCAGAATTTACCTATTGCAATCGCTTTTTTGTTGTTCTTCGATCCTGCAAAAGAAGTGGAAAAAAGTTATGAAACATGGGTCATTATACTACACATAAACTCTCAAGGGGTCATGTTCTATTGCAATGCAAGTTGGTTAGTTCTTCAGAGTAGTTAGGCCCACTGTCAGCATCACTGCTTGTCAACTAGTACTAAGTATTCAATCAGATAGACATTAAACCTGCATTTAGATGAAAATGAAAGAACTATGTTAAGAAAACTATCAAAGTCCAGTTCTTCGCTCACATCTTTTTAGCTTGTTATTAATAAGAATGTCACTGTCATGGAGGTGAGAACAGCCAATTTGGATTTCCTTTCAGGAAGGGACGAAGAGTTACATTGGAGGGTACTTAGTTTGCCTTGTGTCGTCAACTTAATTAACTCTACCGTACCTACTAATCTTCAAGTCAACAATTGATTACCAGTCTAGCTAGGTGAAATGTCAATATCAAGAAGGGAAAGTTTCCATAGACAAAGTAATGGACCAATTCAAGACGAATTTGAAATTTTTACGTTCAGTTCAGGTATAGCGTAAGCAATAGCAGACCGGTTCATTTGAACCATGCCAAATACGCACGGCCTGCTGCTGCGGTTCAGATTGAATTCAGTTACTATCGGGCGCTCCAGTAGAGTTCATATAAATTCAGGCCATAACAATACCCATATTACTCCAACATGATAAGAGCCTAAATGTCTCGATCACAATAGTTTGTACGAGTAGCAGTTTTCTACACTAACCAACTACAGAGCAGCCTTGATGCTATTATGGTAGAAGATGGTAGAAACAAGAAACCTTGGCTTGCAAAGCTTGATTTTTGGGGACAAAAGATACCTGATGAACATGTTCCAAGAAATGTACCATCAGAGCAGTAACAGGTGTGATCACTAGGATTGCTGGAGTTATATCCACATCGCCCTCCGGAATTCTCACAGTCTCGACACCACCCCGCACCCGCCGTCCACCGCGCGGCGAAACCGCCTTTTATGGCATTCCCAAGGGTAAGGCCAGAGCTCCCAGCCGCAGCCATGGAGGAGTTGTAAGGCACAACCAGAGTGGAGCTACACGTTCCCAGCACGTCCGGCGCCACCGTCCCGTTGTCCAGGCTGTAGTACGACTGGCCCCCGGACAGGCACGAGAGGACATCGACCACCAACGGCGGCGATCCGCCGCCGCTGCAGTTGACGTACACCGTCAGGAACTGGTCGCGGTCGGTGTAGGCGAACCGGGCGCCGTCGATGGTGGTGTTCCGGTACGGCTGCAGGCACGTCTGCTGCGCCAGGCCCTGGTCGACGAGGGTGAGGAGGCTGTTTTCGTAGTCCACGCCCGTCACCTGGAACGTCCAGGCGCCGGCGGGAGCGTTCATGGTGATCAACAGCTTGCTGCTGCCGTTCGTGCTCGTGCAGGAGAGGCGGTACCCCGGGAACGAGCAGTAGTCCGGCTGGTCGTCGGCGCCGGTCACCGACAGCGGGTAGCCGACGTCGAACTGGACTGAACCGCAGCGGTACGGCGTCGGGGTGCATTTGCTGTACCGGAAGTAGGCGTCGTCGTCGGGCTGTGGCTGGCATTGGGGCAGTGATGTGAGGAGTAGGGTGATGAGGAGTGGTGGTAGTGCTAGACTCAGGAAGTGCATTTGCTCTGAGTGAGCCATTGCATTGCAAAGAGGAGCGGGGGATGCCGCCCGGAGCAAAGATAGTAGACGCGGCCGGGTGCTGCTACTTAAGCTGGTGGTTTCTTGAATAGTCATGGCCCGTTGGCACAGGTCAAGATAGGATGGCTGAGAAGTGAGAACGGGGCATGGTGTCAGCATAGGGACGTATAGTGATTCGGTCTGTTTCTTCTCTCCTCAACCTCGACGGCTCCATCTCCAAGGAAAAGAGACTCTCGGGCCTCTCTCTCGGCAGTGCGAGGACAAGGTCAAAGAGTTGAGGCTGCGCCTCTTGCGGATGGTTGACGAACAAGACGAGCATCCACATCAGACCTCTGCTTCTCTCGGGTGGCTCCGCGGCACACCGCGCTAGGTCAGAATTGGCGACGGACAGCGTTTTCGATCACCGCATCCTGTCGATCTCGTGAACACCACGGGACAGATCGGTTGTTTGGCTTGGTGCGCCCTTGGCTTGCTGCCCACCAGCTGCGACTAGGGGTCAACTTCTTCGCCGCATGGTTGCGGTTGCGCTCCTAAAAGGATCACAAACCACTGCGGCCAGAACCAGAAGAAACAGAGCTCTCCTCTGCAGTAGCGCAGTGTGCAGTCCGGAAACTATTGTTCTACTGCTAAGTATTGAAGTCTGGATTTTCGACAGTCACGTCTGACGTCTCCACCAGGCAATATGTGAGACGTGTGAGGTTACTAGTAACAGTGGAAAGGGCAGAACGGGAAACTTGCTTACCGCAGTCTGGGCTGCGCACGCGGCCGTCGGAGCAGAGGCAGCCGATGAACTCGCCGACCTGGCTGTAGCTGCACTGCCCGTTGGACTTCTCGCAGAAGTAGCAGGACCCGGCGCTGGGGTCCCACGTCAGCTGGAACCCCTGCTTCAGCAGCTGCCCGTACCCGTCGCTGTTCAGACGCAAGAAGTAATCTTCATCAGGGCCCAGGAGCCGCTTCAGCACCGGCGCGACGACGGGCGCCTTGCACGCGCGCGGCCACTCGTCCTTCAGACTGATGTCCGGCTGCACCACCACGAAAGACTTCGCTCCACTTGGGCTCCGAAAGCTGCTGCAGTTGATCGGGGGCAGGAACGCCGGCGGCGGAGGGGTGATGCCCTCGGTGAAGACGCAGTCGTAGAAGAAGACGAGGTTCTCGTTGGCGGTGACCGACAGGTTGAGCCACGTCTCCGCCAGCACGGTGACGTTGTGCGCCACCCGCGGGCAGTCGTCCCCGCCGCTGGCTACTAGCACGTCGGCGTCGGCGACCGTGACGGTGTGTTTGTCGTAGTCGATGTCCAGCACGGTGTAGTTGTCGCTCTTCAGCTTCAGCGTGGCGCGGCCGCCCTCGCAGGCGATCGCCATGCCCGGGTACCCGCAGTAGGACCTGGGGTAGGCCGTGTCGCCTTCGACGACGGCGTAGGTGGCGTTGGCGAGGAAGAACGGGTACCGAACGTCGACGGTGTCGCCGCAGCGGAAGGAGGACTTCTGGCACGCGCTGGGGTTGTAGTGCGCGGCCTCGTCAGCGACCGCGGGCGCCGCGGCGAGGGAGACGATGGTGGCGACGAGGAGGACGGCGCCCCAGGCGAGGAGGAACGGCACTGGCACCATGGCCGGGGTGAGGTTTTGGCGAAGGCGTCCTTTACTTGCACCGCACGGCCGTCACGTACTGACGTGGTCGATCACAGGACAAGGTCGCAGCTGCTTGGGTTACCACACGGCTCTCCGGCTCGGTGGCGGCGCGCGCGCGAGGCCGGGATGTCGACGAAACTTAACTCTCGCCGTCTCGCGTCGTGATGGGCCCGATGGTGGTGCGTTGGTGCACGGCTTTGACCTGCCCGCCGGCGCGGTTGGTGGCGCGGGAACACGTGGCGGGGTGTGATTTGTTGGGGAGGGGCGGTTGGGTCTTCGGTTGCTGGTGGCACGCCACCGGTCGCCCGGTGGATGACCTCACCCGCGCGCGCGTGTGGTGCGGCTGCACGGTGGGGACGGACCGGACGGTTGCGCGTGGCCGCGTGCCCGGCCCGTTTCATTTTCGCGGCATGTTCCTCGTTCATATTCTTTCTTCTTTATATGTTCTTTTTGTTTTTTGTGGGTGTGTCTTTTGTTTGGGAACTAATAATTTGGAGATTTTCTCAACTCCAACACGAAAGAAGCACGCACGTTTGTGGTCGTGTAAAGTGGTGAGAAACATATCAGCCTTCTTTAGACCAGAACCAGACGGCAGAGTCCAGAGGGGAGGAGGCCGAAAGGATTAAGCGGCCGGATGCTCTTGTTAGGTGTTTGATGCTGGCACCGTGAATGCGCGCTCACCGAAGGAAATCGAAGCAAAAAAGCCATATATTTTCAGATTGTACGTATCCGCGTTGGTCAATGTTGTATATCATAAAAAAGATTGAAAGACAACACAAAAGATTTATGTGTCCATTTCTTCACTATTTACGTTGCATTCATACTAGTTGCATCTCATATATTTTTTAACATGAAAAGTTTTTAAAACATGTTTAAACATTGACTATAATATTTTTGAAATTTCAAGATCATTTGGATATCTTTTTATTTTTATTTTTAGAGCTAAATCTATTTTTTAAGCTTCTGGAGATACTTTCACGAGCTCTAAATATTTTTAATTTGTCATGTCCTAGTCTATCTCTAGAATTTTCTTAATAATTTTAGAAACTTACAAAAAACGTTCATGGTTTACAAATTCTATCAAGTATTTATTGGATTCTACTTCAATTTAGGATAGAAAGGTAACTTCAACAGTTCTAAAACTTTAGATATAATATATCTAATTTTGAAGTTCAGTAAGAAAACTCAGACTACGGATACTCAATGAGTTAAAATGGACTTTTCTCTCTCTCTCGACCACATATATCAGCAAAATAGGTCGGACCTACTCATGGGCTGCAAAGGATGTGTTCAGCGCTTGGGCCCTGGCCCCTGGGCTGCCTTGATCGGGTCGCTATGGTCAGTGAATTACCAATAGCGCATGGATCATTCTAAGCCCTTTCGCTCCGCGGAGCTGAAGTCAACGAGGCAGCAAGGCCCATACACGCGACCGGTCGGGCCAAGGACCACGACGTTTCCGCATGATCAGTGTTCAACGTGATTAATATTTGTGAGTTTCCGTTTAAAAAAAACAATATTTGTGAGTCTTGAACACTTTAATAGTGACGTTTGGGCTACTCTACATGCTTTAGTACAGATCTTTGCTATTCACGTGAAGGATTTTTAGAAGAAAACAATTTAGATGATATCTTGGTTTTGCACGAAATTAAAAAACAAGCCATACCTCCCCTCTAAGACCACATGAGAGGAATGATGTTTTTCAGTCTTTGATATGGCATGTTCTTAAGTCAATCATATCTATATCTCTTATAAAAGCAAACTTCACAAACTTTGGCCTCGTTCGCTTGTCTGAAAAAAGAAGCCAAAACACTGTAGCGGCTGATTGCGTGAGAGAGAAATACTGTAGCGCCTGGTTGATGAATAGTGCCGTTGTGAGGAGAAACCAGCCGGCTGGTCTGGAAACCAGCCAGGCGAACGGCACCTTTGAATCTATGCATGCAAGTTATTCATGCTAGGACCTTGCTTTTGGTTCTTGGCTTTCAGCTTTTCGAAACGAATGGAAATAGATAGTTGTTTCACGGCTGTTTCAACGGAGATAGAGACATAATAGATTTTATACTTGTTTGAACCAAATAATTTATAAATTTTTCATAGCATACTTTTTTTTTATAATTCACAGTTCACAACAGTTTTTTTTTCAGTAACTCAGAGCTAAACCAAATAGACCCGACGTTTTAATCCTTCTCCGTTTACTTATTCTGAACACAGCAAAATTGTATTGCCGTCTTACCCTTCTGCCTACCTCCGCAGCTCCATTAATACATTGTTCTAAAAAAAGCTCCATTAATACATTTGATTATGGAGCACAAAAGCTGCCACCGGAGACTCGACTAAAATAATGGAACGTGGCCACGTGGGAGACTTGGCCTAACACGCTCATTGGAGCTCTCTTTCGTCTCACCTTTTTTCATACAAAAAAATCCTCTTTTTAGTAACTTCTGCTCCCTTGCAAGTTGCAATAGAATGTTCAGGCACCGGTGTGGTGACATGTATAGTTTCCTTCACTTTTGTAAAAAAAACTTATCTATGTTTTGCAACTTTGCATTCGGTTGTTAGACAAGTTGGTCAAGCCTATGGGTGTCATCTCCCGTGACCAGAGTTCGAATTTTTGGTCAGGTGAATTTCTAGTCGGTGGTGTGGAAAAAACCCCCTCGTTTGTCCTGCGTTCCAAAATCACATGTAAAATGAACCGGCCCTCTCACCGGGCAACGAGCCCTGTGTGGGTTCGAGGGTTTTCTCGGGCTAGGTGAGAAGTTCTCTACCTTAAGCTAAAATAGCTCGGAGGTGTCTACTCCCGCAGTCCGAGTTTTTTTACAACTTTTTAATAGGAATTTAACAAGGTCCATTTCACGTTTGCAGGATTGCCAAGCTCAAAGAAGAACACAATCACAGCCCGTAAGAGGAACTCCCTAGCTAGTGGTACTCCTTCATGGTTTAGTATGAACCTGCAAACCTGAACCAAACCACCACTTCAGTTTTGGAACAAAGAAGAAAAAGGCGACAAGTGCCATAAAAAGCACTTACTCAGAAGAAGCGAACAAACAAATTGACAGACTATGAGCAATATCAAAGATAACCTAGCATTGAGCCTTTCTAGGACTCAAGCTAGGAGGTTGATGAGAAGCAAGGTGCAACTCACCTCATATCAGCCAATCGAATTCCTGTTTTCATCACCTTCGAGAAGACACCATCTCGCACGTCAGCAACAAGGACCAAGATGATGAGATACCACTACATCATGGTGTGCATTCTCGTGTCAACAAATGTCACCAATCAGTGGTGGTCTGCCGATGGTGTCTCGAAACACCATGAACAACCAGAGCACAAGACATCATCTCTAAGTCATTAAAGACGAAGCTTCTATACAAACACCAATGAAAGTCCTTCCTTGATCATCAAGACGGCTAGCGTATCGCTAACAAACAAAGAAGAATAACTCTCCGCCATATCGCTAGAAGACAAAGACAATCAAGGAGGAACTTGAGTTGCATCTCCAATGAACACCACTCGTCAACCAAGAATCAACAAAAAAATCAAGAAAGATTGACGGAAGAAGAGTATGCAATTGTTCGTATCCTCATCTTCAGGATCGAGGCTTAATACAAGGAAAGGTCCTACTCAACAGACTATGAGCTCTCGCCAATAGGTAAATTGGATAAGCCTCCTTCAGGTATGTTTGTCACTAATCATTTCAATAAAAAAGAAAACACAAGGTATATCCAACCAAGCATTATGCAACATAAAATCACATTCACAGAAGAATTCTATCATCCAAACTTAATTCTGCATTCTGCAAAATTCAAATATGGGGGATGGAGTTCTTCAAAACATCTCATGTCATGTTGCTAGTTTGTCTTGGACATCGCTACCTTTATGATGAGCTCAACTTGTTAAATCTCTAACAAATAAAAATTTAAATAATCATACTTCTTTGGTTCACCATACATATTCTTGTTTCTACTTGAATGAATCTCTTTAGTCTTTCAAACTTCCTTGTTCTATTGTAAGTATGCTTCGGAATATTATTCGAACATAATTATTAAATCAAAACATACTTCTATAGAATTTGGTTGTATATGTGGACTAACTCTTGCAGGAAAATATTCAAATTTTGTTGGGAATGTTTGGAGATCATACGTAGAAACAAATCAAGGTTAGAGGTATTCTTCAAAATAATTTTGCACATTTTTGCCTGAACCTTGTTGAAAATTTGAAGTAGTGGTGAATAATAAAGGCACATTATTTAAAACATGGGATACAGATGACCTTTAGCTCTATGACAACACTATCCTTGTTTTGAATCATTTGTATACTCCTTCGGGTATGTGTTGTCCACTAATCCTTTGAAGAGAAGAAACAACGAGTAGTGCAGAAGGACCAAGACAATGCCAAGATCCACAAAAGAAAGAATAAAAAGATGGCATGACAAAAGAATGAGAAAGAAGGAGTGTGACATAGGAGAAAAGATGCTCATAAACAGCTCAAGCAAGGAAATCTTGAAACAGGAAGAGAAGACTACCACAAGTCATCTACCCTTGATCACATGGTGTCATCATGCTCTAGTGATGAAGGTAACATCTTAAGGTAAGTAGTCATCATTTTCCTCTTGATCTTGGTATGCACATAAATGAAGAAACAAACATGTTTGAGTTACAATGTTGCTTGATCCAACCTGATTAACTCAACATGTCTTGTTCTTTAAGTTTGTTCATAGCACCACTCTCTTAATCTCGATCTTAACCAAATGAGCTAAAATGTTGCATATCTTATCTTTGGAAGATGATAGTCATCGTCATGTAAAGTTTGATACATTATAAAGATGATCCTTCCATAGGTTAAGCAACTCCACTCTTTTTGATAAATGTATTCAAATGCCATATTCATACTCATCCTTCTGATCTTATCACCCATGTTGCAAGAATGAATGCACATAACATCAACCTTATCATGATTCAATGTGCCTAAGGCTAGAAAAGAAA